GCTCCTCTGGATGTTTGGTTCAGAGCTTCTTGCAAGCTCATGAATCCTACACTCCCTAACTCCTACACATAGCTCTGGGTCCTAGCTACCCACAGGGCTTGCTCCTCTTTTCTTATTTTTTACCCCAGGACATACTCCCACACACAGATGTTATTCTTTGTTATAGCTTCAATATGAAATATCCTCCACAAACTTTTGTGTTGATCTTCACTAGTCTTGATCTTCACTAATTTGGGAGGTAAAGAAAACTCTCGGGATTTAGGGCCTATTTAGATGAAATAGGTTATTCAGGAATAACCATGCAACCCAGTTGAATGGAGTCCTGGGCCCCATCTCTGTTGATCTCTCTCATCTTCCTGTTTACCATGAGATCAACAGCTTCCTCTGTTGCTTGTTCCTGATGTTAGGGTTGCTCAACCTCACCTCAGGCCTAAAGCATGGGGACAGGGATCATGGACAGAAACAATTGGAATAACAAAAACAATGAGCCCAAATCAATCCTTCCTCCATTATATTGTTTTTTTGAAAAGTTAACTAACTCCATTCTGTTTCCCATTATAACATCAGAACCTGGACAACTGTTTGACACTTAGTATAAACTTAGTATAAAAATCTAATGGCTGAATGGATTTTTTCCCCTTTTGTGCCAGTCCTGGGGCTTGAACTCAGGGCTTGGCTACTCTCCCTGAGCTTTTCTGTTCAAATCTAGCAGACTACCACTTGAGCCACAGCTCAACTTCTGGTAGGTTTTTTGTTTTGTTTTGTTTTTGTACTTAATTAGAGATAAAAGTCTCACAAACTTTCCTGTCTGGGCTGGCTTAAAATCACAATCCTCCGACCTCAGTCTCTTTGAGTAAAGGCACCTGGCCCAAATTTATTTTTATAGATAAAGAACTGAGGGAGAATTGGAGAGTGTGGAACCATAATAAGCCTATGAAGATACACCCTTGTACCATTTGGGATGCTGTGAAAAATAGAACTTCTGGAGTCAGGTGGAAGTCCACATTACCAAAAAAGGATCCACCCACATTCCATTTTGCCTAAAAGTCAATGTCTGCAGTCTGAAATGCCCATCAGTGATTCAAAGTAAGACTTGTATAGGCAAATGATAAAAATGTCAGGTAAGACTTCTAGGCAAATGATAAAAGTTCAAGGTAAGACTTCTATAGGCAAATGATAAAAATTCAAGGTAAGACTTCTATAGGCAAATGATAAAAGTTAGAATTTTTTTTAAAAAAATACTGATCAAAAGACATTTCCAATGTCTTTCAGACTTTTAAGGCTTTAGATATCATGCTTCAATTTTCAAATGTATCATTCTTAGGTAAGCCTGCACATCATGTTTCTTAACACATAACTAATGAGACATACAGAAGGTTCCATATGTTAAAAAGTGTGATCATCTCTGTCATTTTCTTTAGCTAGTGCTAAGGGAAGTTGTACTGAGCTATGGAACAGACACTGTCTGACGAAGTTTTACATGATCATCCCCTGTAACCATTCCAATGAAGTAAGTGCCATTATGAAGTTCAATAAGAGTTTAAAAAAACTTGTCCCAGAGCACACTCCTAATGACTGAGAGGCACAGGATGTGAACCCAGGCAAGTTGTTCTGAATCCTGGACTAAAAGGTGGGTGCCCAACAATGCATTCCCTCCTGGTTTTCCTTTGTAACACCAATGGTAAGTGGAATTAGCAAGGTCCTACGTAAGTACTCTCACACACTTGTTTAAACAAAACATACAGAATATTCAAGAGTTAAAAATTTCAATAAGAAACTACCTAACATCAATGGTAAAGGGAATTAGCAAGGTCTTACATAACCTGTTTAAGCAAAATAGACAAATATTATTCTAGAGTAAAAAATTCCAATAAGAAACATCACTGACATTAGTATAAAGACATGAAAAAAATATAAAGTGAACAGAACAGTTTTTCTTAAGATGATGACAAAGTCAAGAGAATGGCTAAAAAAAGATCAAATACTGTATTCTTTGAAAAACTGTCTTTTTTTGTAATGTAAATACTCTGAAGCTTGCTTGGAAAAGAGTAAATAAAGTCTTATAAATATAGCCACACACAAAAAGTGGTTTTCTTTGGAAACATTGGACTGCATACAAGTAAGCCAGAACAACTAATTTTAACTTAAGTCTTCAAATCCTGATACTTTATGGATAAAATATTACCCACCCACATGCCCCTACAAAAATAAAAAGATTCTGCAAATAGTTGGGAGGCCCTAGCTAAAAGTATGAGGAATTTTTTAAGCTGGCATCCAATGAATGTGTTCTGATAAGGAGAAAAAGTGAAATAGAAGGAATTTTAGACCAATAGATTCTTTAACAATCATTTATTAATTCCTCGGAAGACTAGAACAATTTTTTTTATAAACTTCATAAATGTTGACAATAAGCTATACAACTTGTGGGTAGGGACAGGAAGGAAAAACTTGGAGAGAGCAAGAAAAAGGATGATATTGTCCAAAAAAATGTAATCTTTACATGACTTATATAACTATAACACCTCTGTATGTGACCTTTATAATAACAATTAAAATTTTTAAATTTAAAAGATTAAAAAATAAACCTTTGTAAGAAAAACCCAAACATATTCTATAAAGATCCTAAATTGTATACATAACCCTTACTTTTTAAATATCATTAAACGTGTATGAGCTTATCTTACTGAATCAAATGTTTGAACAAAATACAGATAATTTAGAAGAGATTTTATCTTGTGATAAACAAGGTCAGAATATTGTGCTACCTCTAGCAACTTTTAAATAGTCAGGAGGGAATACAAAGTCTAATTTAGCCTCTTTTTAAGAGGTTGGTTTTTTTTCTTCTTCAAAGTGCTTTATAAAACTGGCCATCAACATGTTCCTTAGATCAGCTTCCTAATGCTTAAATAACCAGCCAATCAACCCAACCAGAGCCAAAGTCGGGCAAATTCTCTGTCATCATCATCATCCCCAAGGATCATTACTGATCCATCTTCTTCATTCCCTTCAACCCTATCCCAATGCTAAGTCCAGTATCTCAACATTCTAGGCTAAATTATGTACTTCCCAAAGTTCCATTCATTTATCTGATAAAAATATTCTATTTGTAAGAGAAAAAACAGTGAATTCTCATCTTTCCTCCATGCCTTTACTCCCATCCCTCACACCAAACTCCCTCCTTCCCCAACCAACGAAAACAAATAGCACTGGGATAACCATAACCTATGTTGGTATGGGCCAAGCAATATGACAATTGGCAGAAGCCTTTGGGAGCCAATTTGGAGCTGTGGCCTCAAGTGAGCAATCACCTCACTTCATAGACCACTACCTACTTTTCCCCTCAGTGCCTCTAGTCTCTGTTTCAGCAACAGCTTGAGAATGTTCCATTCCTTTCTTTGTTTGCTCTACCTATTCAAGTATAAACTACCTACAACAAACAAACGACAGCCCCAGGCAAAAGATTAGAACTATAGACTTGGCCATAACCTCAGGATCCCCAGCAGTTTAAGTTCTCACAGTGAAATAAGAGTTTGAATTCCAGGCCCCTAGATTCTGGTCCACTCTCACAACCAGTCTACTATCTTTGGGCCACCCTGCCTAAAGTCATTGAAGAACCTGCTGAGCTTACACAATAGTGACTCGCAAGTGAAAGCCAAGTGATGACTGGTATGAAAATGCTTTCTGCTGAGAGATTGCTAATGTATTACTGTACTCCAGAAAAAAAATAGATGAAAACATGATTTTCACAGAAAATACTTTAAACAGAAAATAAAATAGTAACACATGTCAAGCAGAAGCAGACAGTCCTCTTTGATCTTTGGAAATGAATTCATACAGTGGAATACATTCTGTGCATAACTTATTAAAAGAAAGTTTTGATCAGCCTAGGTCCAACTCAGAGTATTACTGCCATTCCTTTGGGGTTCTTTTTTGTTCTTTTTGCTTTGTTTTGTTTTTCCCACGCTCCATATTTGAGGATTTGAAAACAAATGAAAGGCAGCATTATTTCAGCTTCAGGCATAGGCATCAGTCATATAAGAACAAAGCAAGTTTTATTATCACATTAAGCATCAGGAGGAAATGAACTTATGAACAACTCATTTAGCCTCCCAGGAGATGAGGTTAACATCTGCTCTTTTTTCCAGGCCAATATTTATAATTTATATCTAAGACTAGAAGTTTAAAAAAAAAAAAAAAAGTTCAGCTAGTAAGAAGGTCATTAAGGGGAGAAAGGGGGAAAAAATCTCTCTTGGAAAACAGAACAAAGTACACGAATAGGGAGAAAGGTACTCTGCACCTCAGCAGTCTATGGAAGAACATTTGCCCTGTCTGCCTATAAAGCGATTTAACATTAACCACATTTCACTCCTGTGGCAGAGTACTATCTCCTGACAGAAACTCCTTTTAGAAAGCTCAAGGGGAGGGGAGGAAAATAAAATAGTCACATACACAGAAAGAATGTGAAGCATACTGCCACAGGCCAGTGTCTTGGGCATTTTGCCCAAGAGGTCTGCTTTCACAGGGAAGGGGGGTGGGTGGGGGGAAGCACTCTGACAACAAAAGCTTGTACAGTGAACAGCTTCCCTGGGTCCTGGCCGACTTTCCCAGCTAACAGTTCCAGGGGAGATGCCTGGAGCCCATTCACAATTCCAAGTCCTAGCAAGTGTTTCAAACACAGTCACTGGATCTCACAGCAGTTCGCGAATGCACCTGCTAAGCAAGTGGTCTGCTGGCTGTAAAATTCACAAATAACATCCCTAGCTCCTCCCAGTTCTTCTTGGTAATCCTAGGTTCTTTCAGACTGGGAGGAAAGGAGGTGGAAAGTACCCCCCCACACACACACCCACACACCACCACCCCAGATCCCTCTGCTGCCGCCCGAGGTTAGGTCCAGGTGCACATGTAATTAATTACCTTCTCTCCCTACGCGCTCCACCAACTTCCCTGTCACAGGTAAGAGGTTTTGCTTTGTGTGCTAGCTTGCAAAGGCCGGGACTTACCTCGAGGTGGCTTCCTCACCTCCCTTTGCAGGGCTGTCCCCCACGGCCTGGTCCTTGCCGCTGGGGTGGTAGGCGGTGAGCACGACACCTGGAGAATTGGAGAGCCAGCTCATGGTGAGAGAAGGGGCATAGTTTCTGCGATCCCGACCCGCAGGGGAATGAAGTTCCTGTCTCGCCTGGCAACTTGCTCATTAGCATGAGCCGGCCACGCCCCCTCGCCGCAGCGGCGATTCACACGGGCAGGGGCGGGGTCTCTCCAGGCCAGGGCTTCCTGGCTCTCCCAGTCAGCGCCCTGACTCACAGCAGCCCGGCGGGCCACCCCAGGGCCACCCCGGCCCCGCAAAGTCAGTGAAGGGGACCCTGTGGGTGGTGGTCCCTGCCCTCGAAGCAGTCTGATCAAACCGCCTGGGTACAGACTCATCCTCTGGATGGAAGGACTAGTACGTTTGTTAGGGAACAATGAGTTTGCCCTCCAGGCCGGCATCCCTGGGAGCCTTTCTGCTAACCTCCAGTAACAGGAGTTAAGGGCACTTCTTAACTCTTTCCTGCCCAGCCACACAACAGCAGAAACCAATGAACCTGTGACACCACTCTGCCATCCCGGGACAAGAAGGGCTTTTAATACTTGCTCTCATAAAATATACACATATATGTGTGTAGGTGTGTGTACGTGTGTGTGTTCATAGTGCACCCTCACCCTAAGACCCAATGCCAACTGTGCCTCTTGTTTAACCAAAATACTCTATATTACCAAAGAGAGGCACATCTACCTATGTTCTATGAAGTGTTATTGCTGAGACTAATATATATATATATATAGAGAGAGAGAGAGAGAGAGAGAGAGAGAGAGAGAGAGAGGTATCATTAATAGTGTAAAGAAAGTAAGATTAAGGAAAAGGCAAAGTTCCTGGAGCAGAATAACTCAGTTACTCAGTGCTAGAGTTAAAGTTAAACCGAATTCTAAATTATTCAATTTTCTTTCACCAAATTGTTGCTTTATTTTGTTGCTGAATATACTATTCCAAGAGTTATGAAAGTTACCATATTTGTTTTTCCTTACCTAAAAATGTTCTACTCTCATCCACACACCTAGTAAAAGACTTAGAAATCTGTGCTTATTGGTTTTTAAGAGCCATTTGTCTACCCATCTAAAATGCTTCATAATCACACATTCAATTCCATGGTTTAAAAGTGTGAGAAAATTAGCCCATTCTTACTTACTCAAAAAGTTTATTTTTTAGACAGTCTTTCTCTTTTCTATCTGTATTGAACTGCCAGTTACATACATCTTCCTTAAAAAGAACTTTTAAGTTTCTCACCCACTCCCTCCATGGTTGCCCAACTTTTCCATTCCGCATCTGGTACCCTCCTTGCTGTCCTTCTATCCCTGCTGCCTCAACCTGTAATTGTGAGCCCTATAATTAGGTGCTGGTTTCCATCTTACAACAGGTTTTGTAGCTTATCTTCTTGTTTCATCCTCTAAATTATCTTGCATTCCAGCACTACCAAATGATGTTTCTTCTTGCTTAAGAATCTGCACTGGCCAGGCACCAGTGGCTCACATCTATAATCCTAGCCACTCAGGAAGCTGAGATCTGAGGATCACACATTGAAGCCAGCCCACACAAGAAAGTCTGTGAGACACTTATCTCCAATAAATTACCCAGAAAAAGCACAAAGTGGTGTTGTGGCTCAAGTGGTGAAGTGTTTAGAGGCTCAGGAACAATACCCAGGCCCGAAGTTCAAGTCCCAGAACAGACACCAAAAAAGGCACAAGAATAACGAACTTTCACTGATATCTCATAGCTTACAGAGTCAGTTCTAAACCTCTGAGATGACCACAGTACATTCTCACTACCTTACCCAAGAGGAATTTTCCCTGTCAACTACCAGTCACCATTCACTCAGGTTACGCTAACTATTCCTTTCTCCTTCTGCATCTAACAATTATTCTGTATATTAGCTCTTCATCAAGGCTTGAATGGATGAAAAATTAGATGAAGCTAAGGTGACCTTTAAAACTCTACTAACACCTGGACTGAGGTGTGGCTTGAGTGGTAGGGTGATTGCTTAGCAAGCAGGAGGCCCTGAGTTCAAGGCCCACTCCTGCCAAAAATAAATAAATAAAACTCTTCTACACCACTGTAATATTAAAATTGGTGTCATAAGACAAGTGCTTTTCATGCAGAGACCAGTGCCAATCTATGATGATATGGTCACCAGCTCAGGCAAAATGAGAAATACAAAAGAAAGAGCCAAAAGGTAAGCAGATCAGAATGTATGCAGATTCTTGAAAGTTCATATATAGAAAAATAGTTAATGGTCCCACAGTCACCTTTTATTTCTTTTCTTTTCTTTTCTTTTCTTTTTCTTTTCTTTTTTTTTTTTTTTTTTTTTTTTTTTTTTTTTTTTTTTTTTGGTGCCAGTCCTAGGAGCAACGTCCTAGAGCTTTTTTGCTCAAAGCTAGCACTCTACCACTTGAACCACAGCTCCACTTTCTGGCTTTGTGGTGGTTAACTGGACATAAGTCTCACAGGCTTTCCTGCCCAGGCTAGCTTTGAACTGTGATCCTCAGATCTCAGCCTACAGAGTAGCTAGGATTGCAGGTATAAGCCACTAGCACGCAGTTCTTTTTTTTTTTTTTAAATGTACCTGTTCTGAAAGGTGATATTTTATAGTTACTGCAGATGATCCCTTACACTCTGTCATCTGGAAATTTTTCTTCTTCTTTTCCTGACTGACCCCACCCTTCCATTTTCTTTCCTTCCCTGGACCTACTTTCTCTCTCTCTTCTATTTTCCCTTCTCCGATCTTAGCATGAGAAACTGCCAGGATACTTCCAAGTCTCATGAGTCAACTCATGATGAAGAAATAGTTTGTCCATTTGTAACCAAGACAATAATTATTTCTTTGTCTAATTATAGTCTCTTGTGCACAAGGCCCCCTGTTTGAGCCCCAGCAACAAAAATAAACAAAATGCTAATTATAGCACTTTGACTTGTTTAATAAGTTAATCATAATATATAGGTTGAGATGAAACTGTTTTATAAATTCAAAATAATACATGCACAATAACTATGCTTTTTAAAGTTCTGCGAGGCAAAATAAAATAAAATAAAATGCAACACAATCTAATTTCCATAGCTTAGTCCATATAATTTGAATCCTACTAATTTAACTTTCAAGTACATGGAAATCCTCTGGGCCTATTTCTCCTTTCTTTCCATTGAGCTCTGGTGTTATTGGTCTGCCAGCGGCAGGCAGACAGCTGATAGGATTGTGCCTTAGTGGACAGAGCCTCAGATAGAAGACCAAGATGATTAAAAATGGCTTCAGAATTTCCCTATGTAATCAGGGAAGCAAACATAAACACCAATATGGTCCCTGGAAATGCCCTTCTAATTTCAAACATGAAAGCTTAACACTAAGACTTAGCCACAGTCCATTTCATTTTATTTTACCCTTTTTGCAGATCCATTTTGTTTTTAAACATACACACACATTTTTTACAACCTTCCACAATCAGTTAAATGAAACACTGAGAACCTCATGTCCTTGAAGATGTTACTATTCCAAGCGATTGAGTGCATGCCAAATGCTGCTCTGTACTGAACCATCTTAGAAAGTAATTAACAACATCAAGACAATTGAATTCTGCATTTCATTCATTCTTTGCAAGTAGTGTGTAATGGATGTCAAACGAAGGGAAAGGAAGCTGTAATTTATGGACTCAGATAGGTTGTTAAAAATAGGACAGGGACAGAACTGCAGTTTCTTACAATTTGACAACCATGTTCAAAAACAATGAAAAGAAATTTCCCCTAAGGTTCAGTGCTACTAGTTAACCAAGTGTTTATTAATTGATTTTCATACTTAGATGCAATAACTTATTTAGTACTGTAGACTTACCATTGAAGAAAACCAATTACACTGAAATTATTAAAATTACACTATAATGATTAAAATTTTCACAACTGCTCTAATTTTTAAAGAAACTAAGGAGAATATGTACAATCCCTTTCATCTCTATGAAGTAAAACCTAAGTAGGGACACAAAGCCAATGAAAAATGATCTTTCAATTAATGAAATTAGATCCAATGTACCGTAATAAAAACTTGAATGAACTATAAGGTGGGCATCGGTGACTCATGCCTGCAATCCTAGCTACTCAGGAGGCTGAGATCTGAGGATTATGGTTCAAAGCCAGCCAGAGAAGGAAAGTCCATGAGACTCTTATCTACAATTAACTACCAAAAATCTGTTAATGGAGCTAGGTTCAAGGGGTAGAGTACAGGCAAGGAGCACAAAAGCTCAGAGACAATGCCCAGACCCAAAGATCAAGCCCCAGGACCCCCCCCCCCACTACCACATACACACACATCAATGATAAGTTTTTAACCTATATGATAAAACTACATTTATAAAGTAGCTTTGACTAATGAAAAATGTTCTAAAAATTCTCCTCTTCTGATAGTTTATCAGCCGCTTTGTCTGAATTATTCTCGACCACTAGTTTGTTGGCTAATTGCATGCTGAATAAAAAATATTCTCTGGAATGTAAATCTACCTCCTTGAAAATAGTGCCTCTTAGTAGCCCTAGAAGGAGCAATAAGAGTCTTTTCCCTTTCCCTGGACAGTTCTAAGGGTGTAGGTGTCGTTATTAAAGTTATTTTCTTGACTATTCCTCTAGGGAAAAAAATACAAGTCATGCCTGAAGTAATGTGTAAGTACTATAGCCAGGGGCTAATTTAGGCTTCTTGGTAAACATTTAGAAGAAAATAAGTCATACTTCCAGTTAGTCTGCTACCAATAAATAATAATTGCTAGTATTTGAGGGTTTCCTTTTTTCCAGACAAGGTCTTCATGCTCTCTCATTCAACTGCTAAAAACAACACAACAAAAACCTAAAAGAGATGTATTAGTATGGGTGCCTGCTAACTTTAAAAATGAGGAATTTGAAGTTACATAGCTAGTATGTGGCAGGACCAGGACATATAAACCTGGACTTTTGTGACCATTGAGCCTGAACACTTAAACAGTACTAAGATTGCAGCTCTCCGGAAACAGATACTATTTTATTTATGAACACAACCATGGGAATAACTAACAAGGTAAATAATACATGGTAAATCAAAGGTATTTAGCCTGCACTAAAAGAAAAGAAAATAGTACCC